GATCACTACCTAGAAGTTCGATGGACGGCCGAATACTCATCTCGGTGTCTTCCGAACATATCAAGTATTGTTGTTAGCTTGTCTAACCAACCGATTGTCTTTCCAGTTTAATATTTCATTTTGAGTTTCATTTTGAATTCCTCGGAAGGATACAAGTATCTGCTCTCAGATACACGCTGTGGCAAGAGTGTGACCGTAGTTTCGGCGACGGATCTTCCTGTATCACCCAAAACGTCCCCCCCCCCGAGATCTAAAAAAAACTTTGAAAAAAGTCGTTATCTATCTTGGTATGTGCTCCTGTCTGGTCCTGATCACCTTGCAATTTGGTTATCGTCATGATCTGGGCTTTCTACATGACACTTCGGATCTATACAATCCTAAACGGAATCATGTTGCTGTTGATCGCCAAGTCAGGCTCAGGCAAGTTGGACAGGATACTGCCCGGTCCGCTTATGACCGAATTCGACATACATGCTGTTCGCGCCAGCCATAAATTGAATACCAAGTTTATGCCTTAGTTTCCGTCATGGCGTTACAGCCCACCAGTGGGCCAATCAACTTGTCTGTGGTGCCACCTGTTTTCGTACCGAACCAGACAATCACACGACGAATGACCTTGATTCGGACTTCATTCTGCTGATTCAATGAGGTAGGTCCTGACAAACGAGGAACAAATGAATGTCTACACCAAATTATCATCAAAAGCCCAGGCTACACAGAGGACAACGACAGGCTGGAAAGGGCGGCGATTTGAATAAACGGAACTAGTGGAAGGTGTTCAAAAGTTTCATGGAGCATGCAATGGGATAACAGGGGCTTAGCAGCTGTAGTTGTCTGAGGCGACCGGAGATATGATCGGAAGGTGTCGTTAAAATTGCGTGTTTTGATACAGCAGGTTTGTCGCCGCAGACTGCTATACAGCGCGCACGAAACGCGGAGCCAGCTACTGCAAGGGCTAGGACAACCACATGAGTTTCCAGACTTTTCAGTTCATCGTCTCCCTAGGTCCGTTTGCGCAGATACCTCACCCACTCATATTGTATGGTGAAGGCTATAGGCTTCGACGGAGATCCATTCGAAAAGAGGTCATCCCGCCAAGTACGATTCGTTCGTTTTAGTGACTCGTACACGAATGATAATGGGTCAGTTGATGCATGGGTTTCATAAATGAATACCGCCATACAGTAAACAGTCACAAATGGAACTTTGGAGTCTGATTCGGAAAAAGCATGGTACACAGAGGACTGTGTACGCAATTATACTATTTAGGAGGACGTAGTTGGCACAGGTTTGAACTCTTGTCACTCCGGGATATTATTCACGTATTTACTGGTACAACCAGAAGTTTCAGTACCTATTTTTCTTGGCCCAACGTCTGGCACTGAACCTACGAATAAAGATGGTGCAGAAGCTCGGACCCAGATGTTTTGACCATCCAGCTTGCACGTTTTTCTATCCATTCTATGTGTCTTTTAGCCAGCAAGAGGACCGTCCCAATTTTCATACATTCCGAATGAATTCGATGGATAGGCCTGACAATCAAATGCGGATTCGGGGACTTTTCAGGATAAACTCATTAGAATCATGATTATTGCTCGCAACGAAACCCGCTAAAGCGAAGTTCAAAGTGATGCTTCAGTCCGCCAGGAAACTAACTTGTGGCTACTGAAACGGAAACAGGTCAAGTAAATTTCAACACATCCGATGCCGATTCCAACGTCTCTCTCCGAAAGCAGTGAGAGAAATGGAAATATCAATCTTCAGTTGTCTCAAATACATTTCCTTCGGAAAAAACGGACCTCATAATTTTTTTCTACCCAGAATACCTGCTCAAACATGAGATGAGGCGAGGAAACATGGAGCCAGAAAGCCAGCTGTGCAAAGATTGTTATTCAATGTCAACCGGCTTCGTCTGGTAACAGGATGGAAATGCATCCCTGTGGCCTGAAAACTAGGATGGAAAACCCGCTCAATTTGCTGATTACCCCACCGGATTTACTGCAACTGATGCAGACCAACAAAAATTCGAATTAGGCATTCCTACACTATGTTATAGGGCATATTGCCAGGTGTCACAATTTTCTAGTCTCAGTATGGTTATAAATTTTCAACCCGCTTCGTGGGAGGATTCGTGTTTAAAAAAGTTCACCTTCAGGAATGTATTGCCTCTGTCATCTTAGCGGTGTCTCAATAATTTACCTTCCCGTTACTCACACCATTTCATCCGTAGTTGTACAGTAGTACAGTAGTAGTACAGCCTTGTGACCATCGTAACCGAACAGCCAATGCAGTTCGGTAGCATACACATCCACAGAGCACCGCACACGTAGGTTCAGTGACACTCAGACAAGAGTATACCCCATTTCCAGTGGCGTATAAATTGTGAGCTGCGGGTGTCACTGCGCTACTGCTGTGACGATCTCACTGACGCATCGGTCAACTTACTTTTTTCTAACCTTCTGGCCTGTACAGTGGTCTAAAAAGCCGAATGTCACCTGGGTGCGCAGTTGCCATGCTACCGAGGTAAGAATCGCTGTCGATCGGCAGACATTCAGCGAGCTCTGCTACCTTGATCTTGTTGCATTTAGTTGCGTTTGTTCGTAGACGCCTGAGAATGTGCCCACAGCCCCCCGTTCAATGCATCCATTGAAGGCACCTGCAACCAGGCTATCTGACGGGTTGCTGTTCGGGTAGCGCGCCCCTATGGTTTTGAAAATCACAGGCTTTCCAGACTAAACGTACGGACGCTTATATTCCGAAAAAATGCAGATCTGTTCCATTGGGTGAGAATTCACATCCACGGTGTGCCGTCTGATAATGTAGTACGCCTATCTAACTTTTTATACATCAAGCAACCATGCTTGGTTGTTGCTTAGATGACAGTCAATCGGTGATCCAAAGTCTGCAATAGGCTTGCAAGCTAGGAGACATCGTCAGTACACTTAAGTGTGGCAATATGCTGGTTTGACAATGTTTATCCGATGTTAAACGATCGGTTACCTCATGGCACCCTGTCCAATGACACCTGTTCCGACTAAAAACTCAGTAAATGAACCATGCGCAATCGACAAGCAAGGTCTGGAGAGCAACGTAGTGGTTCTTGGCCAAGCTGGTTAATGTCAGTCGAGCTTCCACCCGTCAATCCAAGTCGCTCAACGGTTAAAAGCGCCCATAAAAACCACTGGCACGCAAACAGTGTCGCTGTCGATCGAACCTGCATTTTGAACCATCAGCTGTCCCATACCGAAACAACTTGAAACGCGACATATACACAGTACTCACTGCTGGAATGATAAGGTACTGAGCTACGACCCCCGAAGCTCCTCTCATACAAAACTGGTGGCTGGACAGGAGTCCGACTATATGCACCCCCTGATAACAGCATATGAATTAGAAAATGAAACAATGCATTTTATAGCCAAACACAACTGCTATGAATATTTGGCACTCGACCCGGATTTGCTTGTCAACTGTGATGGAACCACTGGAGGAATGCGCACTGTAAGAGGCAATATACGGTTTGTGAAGGGCAAAATGTGGTGTTTCGCAGAGTAAGGTCGGCAACTTGTTGCGAGATAACAGCCGACCTAAATTTGATGGCGTAATAATGGGTACCGGCACCAGTTATCCGTTGACGGGCGAACTGCGAAAACCATATGTCGATTCCCTTGGATTCAGGCGTAATACCGCACCTCCCCTAGAATAACAGCATGAATGTGTTAGGAAAGCCACACATTAATATATCTTCGAAGTGTTAATGAGTGACCTGGCGGTATTCCATTGACCCTGAGGTTAATGATGTCACCGCCATTGTGTCGCCATTATAATCACAATGCACTCTGGAAATTTATTTTATAGAATTCTGACTGGGGTAAACGGGTAAGAATGTTGGGTTTTTAATGGCTTCTAGTGAATCTGATAGTCAGTCTGATTCCGGTTGTCACTAATTTTGGCGTCACTTCTCGTAATCTTATGGAGACAAAGTTTTAACTCGAAAACAGCAAACTGGCTGTCGACCGAGTAAAGGTTCAATTGGCTGAAACAATAGTCAGATAACTAGTTCAAAATCCAGGTCTGGCTGATTTTAAAGGTGTATTTGAATCCTTTGAGCGATCCGTTCTTGATGACTTTTCAAAAAGTTACGATAAAATAGTTCGGTGGATTAGTAACATTCAACGTCAACCCATGGATTCGCGCGGACTATTCCGAGCCATCGAAAGGTATTCTCACTAACGGCTTTTTTCAATAATACTTAACAAAGCTTTGGCAATCAGATCATGCCAAATCGAATGCAGCAAACTCGCTAAATTTTCGGCAGTGAAATCGCTGAACTCGAGAAACTTCAGCATCGGAAGTATACAGATGAAACTGTTCTCAATATAGAAGAATGATCAGGAAGCCCTGCGTTTTGTGGTTATTGCAATCTTCTGGATTTCCTGAACTTACAACTTCAGCACGAATCTCTGGAGCGCCATAAATGAGTGGATGGTTTTGCTCGTCATGCAAAACTGTATTAACTCTGAGGTCACTTCATTAGACAGAGGCCGCGATAATGTTTTTCAGTCTGAGACATCGCGTCGTCATCAAGTCCTATCAAGAGGTCGCCTATATGCTATTAAAGTGCGACATTTCCTTATATGCCGGCGGAGGTTCCCAAAAATTTCCATACATTAGACAACCGTCATACCAAAACCATAGCTCTTGCTGCGTTAGTAACTGCGTTGGCGAATTATTTGTGAGACGATCCGAAATCGAGGTTGCGTTTGTTCAACAAACTTATTTGAAGCCACCAAATGCAGCAGCTTGGCTGTTCGCCAAGAATGCTAACCAGCAAACGACATCTTTTTATGATAGTTCAGCGTGAAATAAACTCGTAATTGGACAAACCGTGACTTGATGAAAGGAACTGAACGTGGTAGGGAAGATCATGAGTCTTGATAATGCTTATGTTTAAAACCAGTGTGAGTAGAAAAGTGAGACTACAGCTTTTCAGTCAGTAGTCGAAAACACGTTGAATTTAGCACGAAGGATTCTGTAGCAGTCGACATTCCGTGTAAGACAGCAGCATCTCCGGGTTGAGTAGTATTTCTTTATTGAATAAATGACACCCAAATTTAGATACGGAGGAGACAAAGTATCCTTCACCTTTTTGAGGATAACTCTAAGCATAATTGCGAATAAACAAATATAAAAAGCGGAAGCTTTTGATACACTCGCCGCTTCCGTACTCTGCAATGTTGAGGTTGTTATCTCAACCAGTTTTCAATGGTACGACTTTCCGGATATTGTGGTTCCTCAGAAGTCCGTCCTCCCGGAGTTGTTGGCGTTTTCTGCGTCTATTTGCTCAGTGCTATGTGGGAGGACAGCAAGGTATGATGTTTTTTTTCGCTTAATGCACTGGGGTAACTCATAGTCCGGGTTGTGTGGATCGTATCCAACGAATTTGTTCTTTGGAAACAACTCTTTCTTGCGCCATAAAGCAATTCCATTGGCTATCAGCAGAACGACAAACAGGATGCCCCACTGTTGAAAAAAATAGACACTCATGTAGTACCAAGTGGGCACCATACGGATATCGGGTCACTACTCACCCGCTAGCATATCTTCAATATTGGAAACTCACCTCAAGAAGTGTGGTCATGACTGAGTCCAAAGTCAGGTGATACCAGTACTTATCAGAGAGTATACCTTCATAAGCCCACCAAACGATGAGGCCTATCCCTGCAAAAGGCACCAAAACACTGAAAAAGAAAGAAGGTTCGGTAGACGTCAATAATGTTGGGAATGGGTACTACACACTTTCGACCTATGTGTGAGAATCCTCTCTGTGTATCATGACGACCTTGGATTATTCAATAGCCAGGACAACTTTTGCCAACCTCAGACACCATTGTCCGTCTGTCAATTGCGGAGTATACACTGCGGCGGTTTTATCTATATTGTTGTACGCATTAGAAACGTGGCCCGTAAGAACAAATGATGTGTGAAAACTGTCAGTGTTTAACCATTCGTGTATCCGAGGCATTGGTCATCATCATCGTTGTCGGCCTTAAGAACCGCGTACTTGTCATTCAGAGGTTGAAGGTGCCACAGTTTCGTTCACCAATGATTTGGAGAAATAGAGTAGGTAGCTGCGCATTGGAGGCGGCCGTTGTTCAGTTAGTGCGTAAATATAGCACTGTCAGTGGACTGTTAGGTGGAGGAATCGGGAAGGGAGATATACATTGAGGGCGCGACTGGGCCATGTTTGACTATGTCTCTAACCACTGATGTGGTCCGTCTCGGGGTCCCCATCCAAGAAGACGGCAATGACCAGCGTAGCTAAGCTGGCTGGTAATGGCTTCTATAATTCGCTGTTTGGCCGCTTCTGGCTCGTTTTCATCCTTCACGTGGTTGTGCGAAAACGGCCTTTCGACGAATTCGGTCGACTGGCATATGCAGCAAGTGGCCAAGCCAGCGCAACCGATGCAGTGTGATCAGTTCATCTATCGAGGGTGAGTTATTTCTTCCGAATGCCGTTCGACGTACTTCAGTATTACTGATCCGGCGTTCCCACCAGACTCGGGCAATGCTCCGAAGACATAAACGGTCAAACACTGAAAGTTTTCCTTAACGTCCGCGGCGCTCAACGGCCAGGTTCCTGATGTGCAAAGTAATAAGGAGTGCACCGCGTTATTGTAAACTCGACCCTTGACGGATAAGCTGATGTCACGCCTACACCAAAGGTGACGCAGGTTCACAAAAGGTGCTCTGGCCTTCTCAATCCGGATGAAAATATTATCTTTTACGAGACAACAGGGACTGACACAGCTGCCCAAGTAAACAAAATTGTCTACTACCTCAATCGGCTCGTCCGCAATCATGAGGTTAGGCTCCGAAGCCATTCAGTCTTACAGTAACATTTTCCACTTTACCGGTGTGAAGCGCATGCAATACCATGAGGCAGAATTATTTAGATTATTTAATATTGTTTGCACTACCACGGGGTAAGCTCTAAGAAGACCTATATTGTCTGCGTACTCGTTATCGGTACCCAGCCATGTACTGAGCTGAAGCTGTACCTGACAATGACGAACGGAAGCTCTAACCAATAGTTGTAGTCAGGTTGAAAACCGTTAACTTGCTCGATGGGGATCTTGAAACCCAGTTTACTCATGGCTAATGACACTGCCAGAAATGGCTCAATCAGATGACCATTGGTGCTCCTGCATGAAGGCTATCGCCTTCGGTACGTAGCTGACCGATTTCCTGTTTATCCAGACAGCTAAACTGATTCAGTACGAAGTAGCTCCGTTATAACTTCCACTCTCTACCATTTTCCGGTGACTGCAACTATAGCAGGTGGAACAGACGCACCCTGGATGCATGGTTTATACCTCGAAACTGAACTGAACTAAGTAAGCTTGTGCTCCTCATTGAAGAGGACTTGTACGAGTCGACACCCCATATTTTGGGTTAGTGTTCTTAATACAGTAGTGTTGGAGGGAGAACAATTCATTTATTCTCACTGGCCACTGACCTTCAAAATTTGATTAGGCTGACTGTCAGGCTTGTTTCACATGCAGGCGGCGAGATGCGTAATTTCCCTCCTTGTTAGGTTGTTTTGTGACAAGAACATAGGTGATTTTCAATCCACAAAGATCAACCCTCGTGGTTTTACACCCCAGTAGATTCTTCCATAATGCGCCTCTCCAATGGAGTGAAAGGTAGGCGTACAGTGAAAGCATTCAGTATATTTAGTGTAAGCCTTAACTTATGACACGCTGCGCCGTTTGTTTGGAATTCGATTACCCTGCCGGGAAGAGTCTACAGGACGTTCGATACATAATGTATTTGTTTCCTCTATCGGCGTATTGCCTTTCGGTTTAGTACAAATTGGTAGAGCCCCGAAGTTCGCCCGAATGCCATGATATTCCCTCAGGAGTCACTCAACGCCACTTAGCTAAATGAGCGCATTACCAACGAAATGTATGTGCTTGCCATCGCTGGCTTTTACATGTTTGTTTCTTGTATCCGTTTCCCCATAATCACAGTCGCATAGGCTAACTTTGGTATCGGAATTACTAGGCTACGGGACTTCACGCGGTATCGATTGACAGGGGCATTCAGCCAAAACGACTTCGTCACTGTCACGCGAGAACTTTGGCGTCTACAGCCACCACGGCATGTCATGTCAACCTTATACGTCGATTTATGTTTAGGAGGCACAAAAACTGTATAGTCTGGTTTCAATATGAACTTAATCAAAACAGTTCACCGAGTAAGAAAGAGTGGATTCCTTTTGTGGTCAAAGTCAACCGCATGACCATTCATTTACTCTCGATTTCTCAGACAATGTTGTGTCTGGACGGTTCATTCGATTCACATCATTTTAGTCACCTTAGAATATGCAGTCATTGAAAAAATGTGATATTTGCAACACAATACAGTGCATGTAACAGTTCTTTTACACTGTTTGCATATGTCTTCGACCACATGGTTGTCTGGTTGTTAACTATTCACCCCTAGTATCAAGCTCCGATGGAACGGGTAAACTTCTACCCAGTTGCGACAAAACTACGTAACAGCTCTAGATTATTATTGACAAGTAGTTCATATCCCATTGTCAGATTGTCGTATTGTGAAAATATCGGTGTTTGTTAATTCGGCTCCTCCAGAACCTATTGTCTGTGGAGATACGGATTATTGAGGGTAGGGTTTACGGAGCTCAATGAGTAATGACCTTGGTCCACATCAATGCACGGTTTGCTGTGTGCCTTGTAGTCACGTCACCTGACCACATTTTCCCATATCATAAAAGACATTAAGCTGAAGTTGCACTACGGAAAAATTTCCGTAGTGCAACTTCAGCTACCACAAACATTAGCGTCTGAAACAGTTGTTTTCCCCGTAACAGTATAAGGAATGAGCTAGGATCCACAGACTCTCTGGCTAACGCCATTGCTGAACTGAGTCAGTGGACCTGATATTGACAACCCCGACTGCACCAACACGAGATCAAAGTATGTGGTAGGGCAGTATGTGGTACCTACCGGGAGAAAACGTTGGCAGCTGCAAACTACATTTTGGAACCGGAAAATTGTTTGTTTCGAAATACTAAGATGGACGGCAAAGTGAGAACCACGCATACTTGCGCAAAAGAAGGGCCATGGAAGATAAGCTGGAGAATGAAAACGTAGGAAATCTAATACTCCAGGTGATTACAGCGTTCAGGCCCGAAAACTCAGCTTAGAACTGGAGGTGGCAGCTTTGCTGTTTATCTCGAGGATCATGACTCCTAAGTAAATATGGTCTGGTGTGATAAGGTGTCAGAAATTCCCAGTGTGGCATAAGTTCATATGGTCGCACCATCCACCAATTCCATGTTTATCTTTTGACAATAGTGGTGACATAGAATTTGCTTGCAAAAGTTTACGCGTAGAGTTTGCTCTGATAACGTTACCAAAGGTGACAATTGAAGCCAACTGCTGTTTTTGGACAGTAAAGTTGGAAGATAAACAAGGTATCAAATCCATGTGGGAACTGATAGCTGCGATACCTAATAACCATACAAACTCAGTCAAAGTTTTCAGGAAAACAGTTTCAAACTAGTTGACCTGGAAGCAACCCCTTACTTTCGTTTTTCAGGCTCCAATCTATGTTATCATCGAGCCTCAATTCTTCTGTTCAGTTTCCCGAGCTAGTATCTTTGCAGGGGACACAATTCTAAGAACTTTCTAAGTTCTATAAACAAACCGTGCATTCAAAACTTGGATCCGAAGTTGATAAAATGCATTGCCTGAACTAGAAATCAAACCACAGATTATGAGTATGGTATGTGTTGTTGCTCATTAGATAGACAATAACATCATGAGGAAACCAGTGGTTTGCTGCGACGTGAAGTGAAGTAAATTAGACACCCAGAACTTGCCTGATCATAAACACCCACACAATTGACAATTTCCAATCATCGATACCGAAGTCATTGACCACAACTTTTCTGTACCGCAAAGGTCCGTAGATCAGTATTAATGCAGCCATGGCAAGACCGGACAACATGAGAGCGAACCCCCAAACGGCATCCTGAAAGCAAAGTTGGAGATAAAAATAAACGGCTGGTTGTGAACTGCGTGTGGAATAGGACTAAAGGTAAATAACCGCTGATCAATAGACAATGCCTTTAAGAAAGTTATTGCTTCAAAAAGAAAACTTGTTTAACCTAATTTCTGACAGCATCTACTCACCCTCCGCGAAGGAGTTTCAGATGGAGCGATCCGATCGATCGATAAAACTAAATTAATATCAGCAGTGAATTCGGCTCCATTTCCATAAGCTCGCAGATAGCTATATTTCACAAATTCTGCCTCAAAAAGCTTACTCAGTTTACCATCATATGTTAATCATGTCAGTCATCATCACCGTCATCGACAATATGAGGTCATTGCTCAACACTGATGCTTCGCTGCCACACAACCATGATTCATTTGAAAGCCTTATTGTGAGGAAAATAATAAAGGTGGATGGGGAAGGGACTTGGTGCTAGCTTACTGAAATCATACTCCAAATAGAGTTTTCCGGGAACTCTCAGAGTTCACTTCATTGTTTTATCAAGGACGAAGTTCGAGGGGAGGTTGGACATCCTTACCAGATACTATAGACCTCACCTTACACTCACGATCAAGGAACGCCAAGAACGTAGGTGGTCTGTACACATGGTTTTACTCTAACATCTGACAGTGTAAAGGTGTGGTCGCCACAGCCTCTCCTCGGCCGAAATCCTGCTTGATGCTCACAAGTGAAGGTGTCGCATGTTGTGGTAAGATCATTATCGTTATGAGCAGTATGACATCAGTCTCCAAGATCGATGTTTCACTACCGTACGACCAATATTTACTTGACAGCCCTATTGCGAGTAAAGGAATAATGATGTACATGGAAGAGAAATAATGCTACCTTACTATAATAATTCTGAGGTGCTCACACCTCCAGACACTCATCCAGACAATTTGCATAGAAACTGACAACAAAACGTCACTAACATCGATTAGCAGCCATATTTTGCAGCGTCCCCCATCAGGCGCAGCGGGGATCTTACTGTTAGCTGTAAGAACCACGTACTTGTCGTACAGTGGTTGTAGCTGCCACAGTTTCGTTCACCGATGATTTGGGGAGGTGGGGTAGGTAGCTGCGCATTGGAGGCAGGAGCTGATAAATTGGTGCGTAAATACGGCACAATCAGTGGACTGTCAAGTGGGGGAATTCGGAACAAAACTATGCAGTGGAGTCACACCATTGAGGGCGCGACTGGGCCATGTCTGACAATGTTTCCAGCCATTTATGTGGCCCGTCTCGGGGTACCCATCCAGGAAGACGGCAATGACCAGCGTAGCTGAGTGTGCTGGTAATAGCTTTTATACTCCACGGTCTTCATCCTAGAGAACGGGTAGCAGCCACGGCATCAAAACGTTTCGTTGTCACTTTCATATCCCACTGCCAGTCCAAGGGTTCGCCACTCTGAATCGGGCACGGAAAACAGCACTGTTTTCGGCAAGCGATGGGTCGGCAGGCGCAATACATGGCCTAACCAACGCAGCTCCTGGTGCTAGACACATTATCCTTGTCGCACAACCGAAAACTTGCTTTCGAGCTATAATTCTGAGACAAAGATTGTCAACTCTCCGAAGATGTCTCATTTGGGCTCCTTGAATGGACCAGTTCTCAGTCACAACAAAACAGCACTTACTCTAGCCTGATACGCACATCCCTTGAGATTCGGGCATATATCGCTTTGATGTCATAGGTGTCTCAACTTAGCAAACGCGACGCGAGCCTTGCGGATTTGTGCATTGACCCCATCTGTCACACTACAATCGGAACTAACACAACATCCTAGATTTGTAAAAAGGTCCCGCAATCTTAGGTGCTTCCCATGGTATGTAAGCGGCGTTTTCAGCGAATGCTTTTCCATTAGCATGAGCATACACTTTGTGGGTGCGAAGTGCATACTTTAGGATGGTCATTTTATTTAAAAACGAAGACGAGACCGATGTTGTCGAGACCGACAAGGTTTTCGTCAACAGCTATGTGAACAATAGGGTGCCAAGACCTTCAAGCGTTCTTCTCATTGTTTCATCGACCACGAAATTAAATAGGAATGGAGAGACTGGGCATCCCTGACGGACGCCGCTTTGTGCAAGGAAGCTTTCGGAGAGAACTTCGTATACTCTAACACGGCCGAAAGTCTGCGAATACAAAGAACGCATTGCATTCAAAAACTTCAGGGGAAGTCCTTGATGGCAAGCGTGGCAAGGAAAAAACAGACCGGTCAGCCGAGTCGGATGTGCTTTGGAAATCAAGGAATACCAAAAGTGTGGGTCGTTTGTACGTATGACGTCGTTCTAGCAGCCGACGGGAGTGCGAAGATTTGGTCAATGCAACCCTTTCCAGGCCGGAATCCCGCTTGTTGCTCTCGAGTCAGTGCTTCACGAGCCGCCACAAGGCGACGAAGCACAACAACCCCGTTACGACTGGGGTCAAGCTGACCTTCCTGTAGTTACCACATTCACCACGAGCTTTTTTTTCGAAAAAGGTCAGTATCGCCTACTGTCCCCAGTTGCCTTGGACAGTCTCCGTTTCCCATATGCAGGTAAACAGACAAGCGCTGACTGATGATTTTACCTCCATCTCTGAACAATATGAGTGAGGGATTATCTGGACTAGAAGCTCTATGGCGCTTAAAAGGCCATTTGCAATCATATACTTCTGAAGCCCTAAGGGGTTTGAAGTTCGATGTCCGGGGTTCTTCTTCAGCTGTGGCCTCCAGATGAGTTGGAGCTAGTGGCCACGGTAACTGTTGCTCGAAGTATTCCGCCCAATGATCGAGGTTTTCTTGTATATTCAAGGCGGTCGCTGCATTCTGATCCTTGATGTTTTCGTTCACAGAGGGTTCTCGGGTACGGATCGGCTTAAATAATCTTCGGGCATTCCGGACTTTCTGGTTCTCTTCTGGGTTCTTGGCTTTCCGTGTCCACCAGACTTCATGGTCGGCTCGCGTGCACACTTGCTCTTGACGTCTGATAATTCGCCGCGTCAAGTTATGTTCAGGACTGGCTGGGATATTTCTCCGTAATTTAATGAGTGCCACCATTCGGTCTTATTTACAGTGTTTGGGTGCATCTGGTAGTGTCGTGCCACAGACAAAACCCGCCATAGCCGGTGGCAATATGACCAATTTGAATTCGTTGCCGGCACGCCGTTGGAGGAATTCATGTGGCCAGACGGTTTCGGCTATTTTGGATATCAGTGCTACATAAAATCAGTCTGTGGTCAGCACACAGCTGAAGCAATCATTCACCATTGTCTGTACTTACCAATTACACCTAAATGAGTCTCAGATAAGCTAAGCCTTGCCATTTGTGCATTCAGATCTCCGAAAACCACAACGATATCTGAGCTTTTAGCTCGCCGCAACAGGGCATTCAGAGAGTCGTAAAACCTGTCATTGATGGGACCAAGTCCAGTCATTTGGGGCGTAAGCAGACACGACAAACACACGTTGATCAACTTCCCGCTTGTGAGACTCTTTCACAGACGTTGCCAGACAAACCGCACTGAGGCAACTCGCGACGGGTATCCAGTCAAACAAAGATCCTTCCTCCCGGTGACTTAGGACGATACCAACCCTTATACATCCTGCCGCAGCAGCCTCTGGAGTTGCGTAGCTGGAAGCGAGTGGATGGTGATGGGGAGATTAGCTCAACCACTGTACTTGCATCTTGAATTTTTGTTTCCGCGACACAGCACACATCAATGCCAAGCGAACCCAGTGAGACAGCAAGATCAGTTTGTTGTCTCGCTTGCTTCAGAGTGCGGACATTGAAGGCAGCCAGATAGACTAGGCATCGAGGATTGAGGATTGATATCGAGATGCCTGAGGATGTCGGCGCCTGATGACGCGCAGGTGTTGCTTGCAAAACCGATGCAGGACGAACGGAGTCATCAACCCTAACTGCTGGGCCTACAAGAAGAGACGTATAAATAGTGTGGGGAGAAGGGGAAGGAAAAGTTTGTGACGGAGAAGGGGGTGTCAGCAGTAGCCTGTTTTCATTTACCAGCTATGTTGTGTACTGATGGCATCAAGCAGCGTCATCTTCCTCACGATCAAGTGAACAAACCATATATGCACCATGCAGTGCTTACCTCTCCTCCTAACCTTTAGTAGAGAAACAGTAACTCACACACGTCCAGCGTATCGGTATTGAAGCATTTTCTAACTCGGTCCATGATTATGAAATCTTTAGTCAGTCAGCCGGATACACTGTGATGAAAATCGCATGAAAATGTAGGATATTTCTGAACGGGGAGCAACTCGTGTGTCACAAAAGTGAGCTACGTCAGTTCAATTATGAATGATTGATGAAAGTCGTTACGAATATGCCAATGAATAGTAGTATCGATGAGAGATGGCGAAAAGTTTTTATGGATGTCATCAAACAGGGGGTTGGCCATAATGTTTGATTCGTTTGGTGTCAGTATATTAGAATGATAGTCAGTGATACAACCAACCTGATTTGTCAGCACGTTTATGTTGATCGCCGATGGCATTCCAAAAATCAGGGTTAGGGCAAGACCACCAAATGATGCTTTCCGGTGGGATACTGAAACAGATGAAATTAAACAGTTGTATTTGCTGTTCAATGTCTGAAGAGTTTATTGATTTTGTACACTGTCCTTGAGAAATTGGTACTACAAATGTGTGGAAAAACGTCTGTAGGCGTTCGATCATTGTCACAAAACATGGAAATGAACAACCAATCCGAATAAACTTTTTACATCAGTTTGCGCTATTTCAATGCATACGGAATTACATTGAATTGGTTTACGGAATTATACCTCTGCATCGGGTCTGCTTCATTTTCCTGCCACCTAACAAGAAGTACGCATTCTCATGGATTTCTGTGGCAATTTAGACGGATACATCTTGTAAGACTTCTACTCAGCCTTAACGAGAACTGTAACTAGATTTGAATCGAATTGAGAGATACGGGGAAATTCTGAATTAGTCTTATCAGTGTCTGGAATTTGAAAGGATCCAAAGTACTAACAAGCGTAGTACAAAGTCTTATGGAGAGTACAACACAATAGAAAAATTTCCGACAAGAAATAAATAATCGTCATCCAGCTAATATACAGGGATAGAAATGGAATCCAAACGAGCTCACTATTGGATGATGCACATGGTGATATCTTCCGGTCATACTATATCTTGTCAGCATACGGTATCTCTCACCACAATAACTTCCAAACTCCTGATAGTCACATACTTATCATCCTTATATACTTTAATAATATTTAGTAACCCCATCATAATGGCCGGAATGGATCGGAATCGGTATAGCATACCTGTTATTTTCCTGAACGGAGTAGATGCTTGCTGAAAGCTCTTCAACTATGTCAAGGTATCATAAACAAGAGATTCATCTGGGGTTCAACTGAATCCCAAAACTAAATCGGTTCGAGCGTCCAGGTTGTCTCTATAGGATTAGATTTGAGGCATTAAAAGACATTGGCAAGCGTCGCCGATGGCTGCTTTATATCACATCGAACACCGCCGATGCTGTTTCTGATCGCTGACTTCTTAGTGCCGGATGGCGGAGAAATTGCTGTGATTAGACTCCAATGACCGTTCATGGTGATGTAATTCAGAAAGAAAGGGACAAAACCCTGTTAACATGCGACGATCCTGACCTCATCTCATTCGAAGACATACTGTACTTTGGTACGTCTAACCAATATTCACCATGTTGCATGGATCAATGTCCGTGGAGACAAGCCTGTTTATACATTAGCAAACGTGAATACACATAAAGAATATGATACACAGAGTGAAGCTGTTCATTTCAGAAAGCATAAAACAACAAGCGAAACCTCGACCGGTGCTTTTCAGTACCATACAAGAAGTGTCAACAAACTATGTTCATTATGACCAATAAAATCCAACGGTGGACATGGAGATGGATAAATATACCAGACCGGTTTGGGCAATGGTTATACTGTCAGGCATAGTTATGTCCCAGTATTCGGAAAGATACCAGGTACGTAAGCAAACTTGTTATGGTCTGTTTCGCCCAATATAACAAATAGTCCACTGTCTCACTAAATCGATCAGCCGCTTGGTGCTGTTAGGCAGGCTGCTTTAACGTGTTAGGATCTGATGCAAATGAATGTTCCGTGAATGTGTGGTGTGTTGTCCAATCGATCTGGAGTATCACCTGAATCTTCTTTCAGAATGGGTTCACCTAATTTATTCTAAATATCTTAATCCCATTAAATCTCGACCAAAATGGATGTGCATTCGGGATCGGTTGTTTTTTATCCGGCTGACTTTTGATTGATGCATGAAAAGTCAGAAGTGGTCGTTGACCTGTTCGCTGAGCCGGGCAATTTGATTGCAAACGTTTCATCACCAATCGAGGTGACATCATCAGTGCGTTATTGTGGAGCGTAGGAGTGCGTAGCGGTGGGTTGGTGGTTGTGCGTTGGGTAGTGTTGTGCGTGTGATAATATACGTGCTGCTAGCAGAATTGTTCGGTCGGACGATTCCATTGGTTGCTCCGTTGTCCTGTGTCCTCATTCGCCGATGCCCACGTGACCTCTGAGCTTGGTATCCCCTGCCGTCATAATCTGGTCGATGCTAGAGTGACCTTTGTCCTTTCCAGCCCCGGGTTGTGACCTTTATTGAGTTACTTCCAAGGAGTTCCTTGTTTCGTTGTTTGTGAGTTCAATATTCGGCCCTCCTTGAGTTTTCCGGTTGAGATGTTGGTCTTTTGCACGTAGGGCCGCGTAAATTGGGTCCAGTCCGATGCACCGGTTGATCGAATCTGCCGTGGAGTACCATGCTTCCAGAAATTCTCTTCCGTGTCGCGTGCCTCCGTATGCCAAAATTTTTTTGCGTCATCCTCTGTTAGTCATCCTCTGCTAGCAGCACGCATATTAACACACGCACAACATTACCCAACGCACAACCACCAACCCACCGCTACGCACTCCTACGCTCCACAATAACGCACTGATGATGTCACCTCGATTGGTGATGAAACGTTTGTAATCAAATTGCCCAGCTCAGCGAAAAAGCCAACGACCACCATCTACGCTACCTGAGCTACCAACATTTTCCTCTATAGAAAGTCAGAAGTCGCTCCCATTCACGTGAGGGGAAATTATGTAGGAACATAGTGTGCTATTTTTAGAACCTACAGATTAGGATGTACACGCATCGGGCGAAATCTATCCTAATTTTTCGTAGACTACCTGCATCTTGCGTCCCTATGTCAAAATATACGATTGCAACTTGTGATATTTTGATCTGCGTTTTGGTATCAGGCTGGCTTCAAATCAAATCGTGTAACGTGAAATTCTACAGTGATGCTTTCTCAAGAGGAATGTAATTTAAGATGAAAAACTGGAAAAGTTCGATCACGAATTCCAATTATAGAGCCATCATCATCTTCTCAAATTAGTGAAACCCGAAGAAGCAAGGAAAGATGCGAAAAGTTTCAGTGATTGAAAGATGGACGAATCACTTACATCCCAAGTCTTTCAATGTTATCACGGTCAGCTGTACGTGCCCAATGAGCGAAGTTACTCCAGCAAACGACAGACACAGGAAGAATAGGCTACAAAGAACCCGGCCTATTCCTTCAACATGTGCAAATAACACGGGAATCCTGTGGACAAGAATGCAAATGCACCGGTGAAACAAGTGTCCTTGCCTTACAATACCAGGACAAAATTACGTGACAGGAAGTAATGCGCTGACCTTAGCCCGACAGAAAAGAATTAATACGTAATCGATCCCAGCGTGAGATAAGAAAAAACGTTTGCACCAATTCTGCGCAAATAAACAGAACGGATTCTGGTGGAACTGGATGGTTTTCCGGAAATGATCTGTCTTACAGAACCATAGGCGCTGCTTTGTTTTGTAAACGCTTGGTAAACTAAGACAGATAGTTAGTTGAAATGATAAACTGTGCTTCAGTTAGACTGGCCGCTCTCATTATAATATTTTATTTTGTACCTATCGATTGAAAATATGCAAAATCACATAGTTGAAAGGGATGTTGAAAATAGAAAAGAAATCAAAATAATCAATTGTCACTTTGACAAGCCTATTTAAAATGAAAAAGTTCCTTGATAGTTGTGTACATAAGTTTAGATGAACATATCACAGAGCATTTATCATTCCAGTAAATGGGAAAATTTAGAAAACTTTCCCTTCGGCATATTTGATAAGCAAAGCAGAGAATTTTTAGTCATGAGTCCACATATACACTGTCTTGGTAATTCTATGTGGCTCGTACATTTCATCAAATCCCAGAGCCTAGACAATCAGATCCACTTATACTCTACCATCTTGGTACTATCAAGTTGAGATCTAGTTCATGACAGGATGGAATCTTCCTTGCCAGTTCATTCAAACTTGCAGTCTAAGTAGATAATCGGTTTTATTAACTAGTTTATTTTTTTATCGTCATATAAATCTAGGGAAAAGGGAAAGTGTATTCGCACTATTCATCATTCATCCATTACCTTTCCGTTCAAATACTGCCTGCTAAATCCAATAAGGTCATGAACTGACTATCTGCGAATGTGTATACAGTGAATATAAATGCACTGATATATACAGAAAGGTTCTAAATTCTTCTACATCTCCGCGACGTACCAAGTAAAGGTGAGTCCCGTACTCCCGGGACCATTTTGCTGCATTATTTCCAGGATACCCAAACGGGTCAGTTCTGGGGAGGTTTGAATCAGTGTAGAAAATACCGTGGAAAATACGGTGACGGCACAAAGCAAGCTGGAAAGGAAACAAACATGGTCAGTTGGGCACCCGAAACTTTAAAAATAAGGTTTGTGTAATAAAACTTGGTGCAATACAGAGTTGTCTAAGGGTAGAAACAACCTGCAAGAAGTGTCGTATTGTTAACCATTGTGATGTGTGTGAAAAGCAGAATTTTACCATGATTTTTGTATCGTTTACTGAATTTCGTCTTAGCGTCTCCCTCCTCTATGAGGTATTGACCAATAATATGCTTGATACAACGGACATTCCTACAAGATTACCAACGTACATAGAATCTCCTCATTTGCCTCATACTGCCGCGACTGCAAATGCAACCTGTTCGTCTGAAACTAACTTTAGCTACCGTCGTTTTCCAAGTTTTTAATGACATTCCTAAAACTCGGGATGCGGTGGTATCCCATTCTGAGTTAATCTAAATGGCGAATGTCCGCCGTACCAAAATGACAAGACAGCATATTAGCGAATCGCTGCACTCAAAGAAATTTGTTGTGAATAGGCAACACTGGTAAGGAGTTACCGGTTACTTCAAGATAATTGCTCGCGAATCTCATGAGGTACAATATAGTAGACGGCTGTACAGAGACACGCAGTGTGTCCGAGGTTAGCAGACACAACCGGCCAACTGTTACAATTCTGTTCTTACTAGAGTTGTTTCGTACAATATATTTGAAAGCATTTCATGTTTCGAAGTAAAAAATAATCAGGCGATTTTCAACATCCTTCTCAGTGCTCCAGTTTTGTCACCAAGGAATAGGATAGATACCTACAACAGAGGGAGACTGACGTGCACAAACGCACTCTTTTCTAACTTTGAAAAAATAATATGCAAAGTTTGTAAGCCCAGGCAGTCGGTGAGGTTTGATAGCAACAACCAATTTATTTTTATTCTCTTCTCTCACGAGAGGTTGCAACTTCAGGTATAGCCGGCGATCGTCTGATCAGACACAGCCATTACATAGCGGAATGACGCACAAATAAAAAGCCGCTGTTAACTGGCTTTTCTTGACGTACATCAAAGCCTACATGCATGGTCAAAGGGTCCAAACCTTGCAAACTTTTTTGTATTCTATATCCATTTCGATCCACGAAGATAGAAATTAGGTGGTATCACCTTACTTGGTTTTCGTCCTCATAAACTAGTAAAGCATTTAAAGCTTTCCTTCCAATTTTTGGATGCAAGTACAAAATACCTTCAAACTACTCCCCAACAAGAACAAAATAATGCATTATCCACCTAAGTGAAAACCGATGTTTAAACCTGACACCAGCTGGCAACTTAAATGTCCACCAATGTGTCTCCGCGAAATCAGCCGAATCACTGATCCGTAAACAGAAAACGACCACATAGTCAATTGACCATTTTTAAATAACGGCTGTCTAACTACTCGCCAGTCGCCACATAGGTCAGAAGACGCACAGACAGCAAGGAGTCTGAATATAACCGGGTGGGAGCCACAAAAACCGTTGTTCTAACTGATGGTTCGCCTTTAAGAAAATAGCGTATAATCACTGATAGGAAGTGACCCGTTCCTAATGTGGCTGCGTACGTGACAAGTCGAACAGAAACGACTTCGCCTGCTCTCTGCTAATACCTCCCTATACCCAAACAAGAGATGATATGCCACTATTATAGTCCAAACATTAATTTCACATCTCTAGCTCACGGTGATACCACTTGTTGGTTGGTTTCGGGATTATAACCTGCATCCTCTTTTGTATCAACAGATACATAGGTTTCCTTTCCTCATCACTACTCTGCACAAACTATTCTTTTGCTGAACAAATTCTGTCAATAGATGGTTGTCACAATCAGTGGCTTGTGGGTTATTATTTGTAAAATTATAGAGAATATACTCATATGTGAAGATCACTAGTATCCACACATTTCCCACCTATCAACTCTGATTATCGCTTCCTATTTCAAACTCAAGTTCGTGTCACTTGACCTAGTCTGAGCGTCGGTAGAACAATGCGATGGCTCATTTACCCCAGTCAGGTGTTCATGTATACGCATTAATTGGTCTTCCTTGGTCCAATTAGCTGAGAGAATCCGTACTGTGTCAGGACAACAAGGACAGACGTGCATGTCACTGCGGTAGTAGGACTAGACACAGTATATTCGGTCCCAGTTGGACAAATAAAAACCAAAGAACTGATTTGGGTGGTCGAGAAATACACTCATTTGCAAATCAATTTGGTTTTCACGGGAGACTCAACTGAAGAGGGTCGAAGAGTTTTCAGGAACCTTGTGAGTAGTTTCCTTTATGATTTGGGTGGTGTTTTAAACAATCCAACTGTTATCTATTTTCTGCAACCTGTGACGTATCAGTTTCCCTCGCATTATAATAACATAACACAGTAAAGAAGTCACGGGGTCACCTGACTACCAAACATACCAAAAAACAAAAGTATGTGGGAAATATTCTTATATCGTGTGTATACATTTAGAACGAGGATAAATTGCTGTAATTTGGTTTGATAAAACTCAGGTGTTGACTATTAGCGTTCAATTCCAACCAATTTTGTGCAACACCTTAGTTGGCACGTGGGTTGATAAATGCAAAAAGCCGTTCCATATTATCCACGTAGCGAAATTCAAGTTAACAGAAGTTTCACACAGGTAGACCTAACAACCACTTTGGTTATTCCCCAAGGGAACGTTCTTGAGTGAGCCAGGATCAGTTCCACCACCTCCCGAATTCCTTGCGCTAAAGGGTAAACCATCCTACTTAATTCTGGCTGCGTAGCAAAATATAGAACCAGCTTCACCCTAACATGAGCGTAAAACGGAAAACCAAAGGTAACAGTAGACAAAATTGAAAATCTTGCTAGGACAGTTAGGGACAATGAGCCAATTGCGACTGAACTGTTAAGACGTTCCCACTCGCACCAAAATGGGCTCGAAACAACACGAAATGCATATTTTATAGAAACGAACTATCTTCAACGCCCGATTCTGATTTTGTAGATTTATCCGCCCAGTTTTAAGGAACTCACGGGTTTTTAGACAAACAGGCTAAAAATGATTAATTGTGGATTAGAATGGCTTACACTTGTCCACTTGGGAAATTGAAATGAAAATTCAGTCCGGCAGTCGTGACGCAACGATAGTTTGTTGGAATATTTAAAATGCTTGTGACCATCCATCGGTTCTACCCACAGCGTTCGGCAAAGGGATGATACTGATCAACCTTTGGGAAGGAGGGATTTGCTCCACAGGAGCCTGTTTTCGAGACCAATCTTTAGGTCATAGGATGCGCCCATCGAGAATAACAGCCCTATATCAGGATTAATTTGAAGACATCTGGCGATTTATTTCAGAGCCCAATGAAGCAAGTTTCAATGGCGATTCTGTCCTACCAAGCTGAAATTAAGGTACCTTGTACAGAATGCGAGTAATGCGTTGCATTAAAATGTGCATGCGCACATCTTTCACATATACTTCATATTCAGTTAGTTCGCATACGTGTGCATGTGTATTGACGAAAGAGACGGTTGAGACCGGATGGATAAATGGCGAATACGTTAGAGTCTTGACCTCCTAGTGAAGGAAGTGAACGCAAGAGACCGCATGATTGGAGTATGGGGGTTGAGTGGTCCAGCTTACCAGAGCGGAATTAAAGCAAACGGTGGATCGACAGGTTCATCAATGGCTGCATGTTATTGACAAAGCCGGAGCATGTGAGTAATTCAAATTGACGGCTCATTCAGTAATGAACGGCAGCAGACTATACCATCTGCTCGACTTGTCCGAAGAGAATTGTCAGTTAGTGAGCGGCGCTCAAGATCGTACGGAAGTCAGCAGGCAAATAAGATGATCGGGAACAAGACCACCAGTACTGCATTTCTTGACTTCACCTAATTAATTCCCTAAGAAGTTGGTGGAACTTCCGAAAGGAATGCCTGTATAACTTAAGGAAGCCCTGATTCTGAAGGTGTTTTAGAATGCCTTTTACGGTCGCACAATAGATAATTCGCAAATGCCGTTCGGATTCTAGGTATGTGACGCCCTCTTATTACACGTAGCCATAGTTGCATATGTAATGATCACAAAACCAGATGCACATTACTGTGATCACCTTTATGACTGGATTTGTTGGACTTTGAAATATGTCACGTGGCCTCCTTGAACTAATGCGACTTGGAGAGACTCTAAAGCGGGAAATTCATAGAATTAATTTCCTTCAGGGAAGAAGAAACACCTTTTCATTGGCTGCGGTAACCAATTCAATAAATCCATAACTTCCCATTGTTTGATCTTTTGTTAAAATTGGCTGCAAAAAGTCGAATGGTGCACACGCGTGAACTTTTAGCAGGCCTATCCATTGAAGTTAACTGTCAGTACACTAGGGCTATCATCACGTGAACTGGTTACAAGCGTGTTTTACTGAGTTAACAGCTGTCCCTGTTCGAAGAGACCACCCTCAGGATAAACAACCCTACAGAAGGAACGTTTTGGTCAGCCACATCGAAAGAAAATAATCATAATTTTTCAGCTGGTCAGCTGCTGATGACTCGCAGACGTACGTTTTACCATGGATTTTACGATTGTGAGGATGCATGAACGACGAGGAACCGTATCTTCATAAAGTGAATTAGGCCTCTCACTATACTAAGGCTTCCAGTAAACGCCTTGATCTTTGCTTCATTAGTTAAACTGTAAAGCTGTGAAAAAAATATGACCTGTTTCGCCGGTATACTCCAACTTTATGTTGCTCACCACAAATGCCTGCGCTAGAGATAATTCTACTGCATACCCGGTAATTGAATTGAACATTACGACTTTTATTTTTTCTCGGTATGACGTAACTTATGAACTGATTCAACAAAACGAAGTACACTAAAAATAGTACGCTTGTTGCGTAGCAGAGTCGAGCTAACTTTGCATAAATATGTAAAGTACATAGTAATAAACTTACGGCGTTCTCCTGGTGCCCTACTATTTGCACGGACCCAGGGCCATGCGGGTGTTGAACGTGTGCGCATTGGACTATATGTGAAGGACAGGAAGACGTGCCACCAATAGGGATCGTTCGACAAGGAGCACGTGATAAACACATTGTGCCAAACTTCACTGTTGACAGTCAAAGATAAGACGATTATAACAGTTGATCCATGGATGTCCGTGCACAACAAAGTAGTTTTTGTGAATACCGGTTAAGATTTCACGTTGTTCGCACTGATCTTGTGGACTTTTCCCTCACAAGCTTCCATGATCTTAACTAGACTGAAACCAATGTACAAACTGGTGTCCGGATCGTCTACTAACGTGTGGCAGTTGCATGCTGAACCTTAAGAATATCTCCGTGGACAAAGCCAACTGACCCCATTCCACGTTTACAAACGATGGTTGATTTGGTGGAGTTTTATATCGAACTCAGTTCCGCAGTGTTGCTTGAGTACACAATACACACAGAAGACCCGAATGGCTTCAGGTCATTTGGATAAGGAAAGCATTACATTTGTTGAATGCACATATCGAATGACTAGCTCCCGTTCATTTGGTGGGACAGCGGAACTGACGACTCCTAGTAACCGCAATAGCCAAATTTTCCAAGTGAATCTTCCCGATCTGAGCAACTACAATGTTGCTCATTCGGACGCGGAAATGGAGTTTTGTTCTAATGAGTTGGTGTGGGACGTTCTACACTGGCGGACACTACGAATCTACTAACTCGTAATGCATAAGACCAGTCATGGATGTCAAGATGTAATGAAGGTAGTTTTGCCGCTTTCGCTTGACTTGTTTGTCTGTGACAATCCGGGAACTATAGCAAATTAATTCTTTTTTAGCCTTTAAAGTCCATGCATGCATGCAGTTCGTCAGTTATAAACCTGACAGCTTCAGTTGTATCCTACCGATACCTGCGAAGTCCTATGGAAGTATATATGTGTGTGGTATGCCATGAACATCAATGCGCATTTTTCACTCTGGAAGCTATTTATCTTCACCATCCTAAATCCTCATGGCTTGATCTCAACATATGAGTCCCTTTCTATGTCTGTGACCTTGTTCTTTCCTCAACTAGCCAACCGAAGTGAAGAGGCAGACAAAACAAGGAGTAAAATCTTCCTCCAACGGTCATCCGGCATCCATATGTTCCAGGTGACTTCGCGTCAAAGTAGGTCGAATGCTGCCATATAGGTAAAGAAATCAAACTCACCTCACACTATTGTTTACGAGTGGGACTAGGGAGCCAAAGCGCACTGCTCCGTTTTTGCGAGTAAAATATGCCGAATAGGAGACAAACAGGGCCATCGCTGCTCCAGTATCGAAAGCGTTTTGAGTGGCTGCTTGTACCCATACACTGGGAGTTAGCATGCTACCTGTTGATGGAAGAGGTTAAATTGTGTCAATATGATAAATTACTGACAGTGCACACCAGCGATATGCAAGCAAGATCCCTGAACTTTCTTTTACATTTATAAACTCCATGTAACAGCAGTAGGAATTTCGAAAAACTACAATCCGGTTAGCGTCCTCGTCATCTAAAGAGACCATTTTAAAGGACTCACCATAAATGCTTGCTTTGCATTGGTAGGAAGTTCACGACTGAGGTACGCTTCAAGGGATAAACTATACGTGTAATCCTTTGGGAGTTAGGGACAGTGTTATGATGAAAACAAATTAGTGGGCCAGATGAGTGGTTTGTCATTTTTCGTGGTGGACGTGACACTTCCCGAGAAAGACCTCAGCAAGTCTTTTTCGTGAGCGCTGTCACGCAACCTTCCCCGTTGCTGTACGCTGAGACCGTGTTCGTCCCAGGTTAGGTCGAAGCACGACTTTGTCTAACCCACCGTCAAAGCCTCAGGCTACCGCTACTCTCAAGCTAGTGCAACTTCTTAGAGGGCTCTCGGTACGGAAGTTATATGTTCACGCTAATTTTACGAACAATGTGAGCTTCAGTATTTTTAGAGCTTTTGTAAGGTTATCGTTTCTGATGATAATCCCAAAGATCATTGCCAATTCTATCGAATATGCCATCAGGCTTGAAGCAATCGAAAGGCCTCCACCGTAGACATTGCAGTGAGCTTTCGAACACGGAGAAGAAAAGTCCGATTCAAGCACCGGATGACCATATTTCCATCCGATGTTCGACTGGACAGAACTACCATTTGGCTTCGGTGTTAACTCCACAATTATTAGACTTAATGATGGGCATGCCCTGATGGCAGCACCACATCGTCGTATTTTTACACATGCCAAGTGTCTTGTGAGTACAGTACAGATTGGTTACTGGAAATTGTCCGTTTTAGTGCTTGGACGAGTCATTTCCATGCGGGTGGTTACGAGGGTTGTAGGTCCGCCCCTGACACGTTCTTAAGGAAACGTCATGCCGAACCGATAGCAGCGAACCGTTGACCGTCGAAATTGTTTTGTCCCCCATTTAATGCTTAAAAGTGATTAATACACTAGAAATTTCAGCTGGGTGAACCAGCGATGACCGGTTGTGGAATTACTCGCACGTCCGACTTCAATTTTTTCCTCCGGGAACTCGAAGTATACACCAGTTGGTGAGATGGCAAAAGGACCTCGGCCGTCTCAAGCCTAACCGCAGCTATCCCTCTTGAGGTGCGTTTTCGAATCCCCAAAATTTACAAAGTATTAGCTTCATCTGAACTGAACTGAACAAGCAGCAAAACATGTGCAACCCGATAAGGATAAATACAAGACTACTCACTTTCTACCCATCGGTGAGGCTTAACTGACTGCTGATTAATTTCATACCAAAATATTCATTTAGTGTAGATTTTTCAAAAGCATCCTGAAGAAACAGAAGCCGTCACCCAGTAGGACATAAGACTGTTTGGTTTTACTGATATTCATACCTGTGTACATTTCAGATAGCTTATAAGGGCATTTATTAAGCTAATTAATTTTTGATAATAAAGTCGCAATTCCATATAGTAGTTTAATTTAGCTTTTTGTCAATTGTTGTGGAATGAAATAGCACGGAATGAGTCACTGGTAAAATCAAGAGCCGATGTCTTAGAAATGCGGCCATTTGTGATCTCAACAATTTTGTGGATCATAATCTGTTAGGTACGTGTTCAAACTATAGCTTTGGTTAATTTTCATCTGTATTGCTGATCCTATATAAAGCCTTAGAAACTAGGGGAATGCGTTGAAAACAAACAAGTTAGGGAAATCGTGGCACGTTTGTGAATGATTTACAGACTTCTCTGCACTTATTCTAGTCTTTAAATGCTCTGAGGTGGTGATAACTGAGTGCAAATGACACTTGTTTTGTTTAAAAATCGGGAAAAAACTTACGCATGGTCCTATTTAGGACTTGTTGTTCATAGATGGTGTCACTAAGGTTCACTGATTTTACTTCGATGTGCCCATCCTGATTCGCTTATTCGAAGCACATAGGACTGCTGACATAATATAAACCGGCCTTTTCAGTTTCCAGTGATTTGGCGAGTTTCCGAATACCCCCCTTGATCAACGCCTATTTTTCAGGGAACGCTTTACAATTAGCAAACCCAATTTACAGATTACGCTGTTTTAAAGCTGTTTTCAGGATCTAGAAGTTGACGTGCAAATCTTCTATATGGTGTTGGTTTAACTCTGCCACGAACGATCGATATAAGGTATTCTACAGGATTGTAAAGGGCTTTCTGAAAACTCACCTTCTGAGTTTTCAGTATTCAGCCAATCCGCCGTGGAAAATAAGCTGGAATTTTCTGCTCAGGCTTAATGATGTAAAAAAGACGGGTCGGCATTATTAGTACTCATCTGATGAGCAGCTGACTTCGTTCTCTCCGGGCACATATAGAGCTCGTGAACCCCGGCCATTAGTGAACGAAATCCATCTGCCATTGTGATTCGGAATCATAGGGACTAGATCGTTTGTGGTACTCAGTGATGAGTTCATACAGTGAGGTCATAGATTCTTTGTGCAGAGTTGATTAGAAAGTGATTTTATAGGTTGGAAGACTTAGAACCGTCCAGTTTGCCGTCAGGTGAGAATCCTCCAGATTCTCCATACTCAAAAGCATCTGTGATACCAGCAGGTAAGATCTGTTTGGCAAAACTCTACTGAGGATACTGTCAATCCATCAATACTGTTCAGAATGACTTGCTGACAAGTGCGCACGAACAAGTGTTCGTAGACAAGGAAAGAAGCGCGGTTATTTGGTCTGGACACCAAGCCCCTGAGTTAGGAGTGATTCCAAAGATGTTTCAACTTGAAACGATTATTCTAGGCCAGATAGACACATTCGACTGTTGATTGGTCGGCAGGTCCGCAGAGTGTTCCAAACAAAAGTTTGTCTTTAACAAAGAAATTCAGCTAGTTGATGACAGATCAGAGATAATAATAAGGTATGAGTTAATGTAATCAGTCCAATTACTTTCAATCTATCGGACTCGATTTTCATCATTCATGCTTCCAGGCTTTCAGGAAGGGAACGTTGCGTTGCTCTCTATTCTTTAACAGCCTCGAAATTGACCTGATCAGCCACGACTGATGGAGAATCNAGAAGGGCGGTTATTTGGTCTGGACACCAAGCCCCTGACTTAGGAGTGATTCCAAAGATGTTTCAACTTGAAACGATTATTCTAGGCCAGAGAGACACATCCGACTCTTGGTTGGTCGGCAGGTCCGCAGAGTGTTCCAAACAAAAGTTTGTCTTTAACAAAGAAATTCAGCTAGTTGATGACAGATCAGAGATAATAATAAGGTATGGGTTAGTGTAATCAGTCCAATTGCTTTCAATCTATCGGACTCGATTTTCATCATTCATGCTTTCAGGCTTTCAGGAAGCCTGAGGAACGTTGCTCTCTATTCTTTATCTTTAACAGCCTCGAAATTGACCTGATCAACCATGACTGATGGAGAATCACCATGTCCACACTAAATGACTGCGCATAGTCCTTGTGTACAAATATCTTGGCATGCCCCTGAAAATCCAGACAATCTGGTGAACTAATAACAACTCATACGGCCGTGGTGCCAACACTGATGAGATAACCGTCTCCAAATAGCAATAAATGCAAATATTCGTAAAGTGCAGGAATCCGCACTTTTCCAGCTCTTTGAAATCGAAACAGCTCTGCGGGAAGAACAGTTTTTTATTAACTGCTGCCTGTAAAAATCAATGCACAGTTGCGCCTGTGAAGCTGCAACGTCATGATGTCGCAGAATCCGACAATGACGGAACAATATAGCCTCCTGAAAAATATTCAACACCCAATTTAGTAGCAAAAAGGAGACACTCTAACAGGTGGAGTAAATCTGAGGAAATGATTTTCTCCATTTAAAACTAGTATTTTTTTAAAATATGATTTCGTTGATGATCTCATGTTCCGTAAAATTCTGTGGTAACTTATTGATTTCGTTCATTGCTTTTTCATTGCGCTTGCATTATCACGGGTAAGGTTAAAAATAATTCAGCTATACAATACAACACTACGAACAAAATACCTATCCCTCAAAACCCAAAAATTGCCCAGCGGGTTTCAAGCGTGTGTCACGCTATCTGACTGGGAAGTCCTGACTAGCGGGTCAATCGATCGCCACAACCAGGACAGTTAGTAGGTCAGAGTTCGATGGGTCGGGCACACTAATCGCATCGCTAGAGTGTGAACACATTCGCCTGTTCAGACGTGATAATTCAGATGCGTCCAACATGCGTTGGCAGATTGGTGGTTACACGCCCGCCTTGCATGTCAGATGTCCGAGGTTCAAATCCCGGCACGGCATTGGTGATGAGCTTCCGTTTGGTGTGGACTCATCGGAATAATCACGCCAGAACAGGAGGACGGCCATTCAAGCGAGAGTTGTGTGACTACGAACAACATACAATAATCATTGCTGTAATCATGCCTCAAAAGAAATTCTCTAGAGTACAGTGTAAATATCGGGTGCCACATAACGTCGACTTCAGTAAATCTGCAAAAAACTAGAACGATGGAGTGAGGTGTCAATAGGTCGATTTGTCTACATCGCCTTCTGAGCAGCATATTGATCGGATTGGAGAGTATGCCGGCAGTCACGTTGGGCGGTCCAATGTGTGAGTTTTAGGGTAGACCTTTTTTAACCGGCCCTTATTTGGGGAGACGCCTCTCGCTGCTTCCATAAATATAAACATATTGGTTGACTGAAGAAAACATCTTATTGCCTTCACACCCCTACTTCAGATCGCCTCAACATAGAGGTTCTCTTAGTATAGATAATTGCTGTTCTTATTTGGATATCTTCACGGTGGACTTTTTGGCACATCTGAATCCTAAAAACTGAATTCCAGCCAGTGTGGTCCAAAGGATCCTTGCAGCACTAAAGCTCGGCCATCACCACTACATGTTGGTAGTTTTAGGTCCGTCCACAGATTGTGGACATTCGGAATATCAGTGCTTTTTTATGGTAACATACCTTGGGTTTGTAAATGAGCCTTTACACCACACTACAGCTATTATAACTGTGGCTGCCACAGCATGTACCGACGTCATTGTTGCAATCCAAAATTTTCTCCAATGTTTCTTCGCAAAATCTTTATTCAGAACAACTAGGCATTTCCTGTAATAACGAGTATCGTGTTGAACACGTGCACCAGATGTTTTTCCAGAAAAAAAAGAACAGACCCGATTTCGTTCCACCTGTGTCGGCTATGACCTAAGGAGGACCATAAACCGTCTCTGTTTCACATTGCTGTTTGTTTGCACAAAAGCAGCTATTTATTCGCCACAAGCCAGTGCAGAGTGATGTTGCGCTGATCGAATCATCCGAAAGCGCATTGCCAAAGAGGAATTTTGCCAAACAGGAATTTTATTACGTTGAACGACCCAATTAGGTATTTTATGAAGGATAGGTATTCAAACAACCAATCGGGGATACTAAATTATTCACCGGGAAGTTTTGTTTTGCTTAGCCACATAGCAGTGAGACTTGCTTTGCTCAAAATTACTTTGTTCAGCCTTGGTGCACATGGAAATGTTAGTGATTCACCTTCAAAATTGAGATGTCAAATGAAATATGCTTGAAAGTATTTATCGAAAAAATCGCCTCTCTTTAAGATAACTTGAACATCAAAACTACGAAACCTATCGGGAACGGTCACTCTCTTTCAAGGAGTCCTTACAAAATCTCACTGGACGGCACGCTGATGAGCCAAGGTAGTTACAGTCACTGCAGAAACAGCATTCAGTCTTATAGTTGCATCCAAGCACAGGTGACTCAATTTCCCAGCCTTCCCAGTAGATCTTAGTTACCTGTCGTCCATGACTTTATCGGATACGCCATACAGATATCCACTACAAGCTGAGGGAATAGTGCTCAGCCTTATCTGCATCGAACATATATCGTGGTCGGTCAACAAAACAGGCATTCACGCCGAAGGCTGCAAGCTGACGCCTTGATTAAGGGCGTCCGCACTGCATACTGCCATCTCGTACACACAGTAATATGGAGGGCAGAATACGCTTGAGCGGACTGAAAGCCTGGCTTATTTCACAGAATCGGAATGTGACAAGGGAAGCTTAGCAGTCAGGAACCGAAAATTTGATGGAGCGAATTCTGAAACAGCTAATTAACTGAAATCGGGAACAGCTATTTCTGGTAAACCTGGTAGATCCCACCATACATTTCCTATTTCAACGGCGAGTGAATCGATGAAATTTAGTAAGCTGTAATGTGTACCGAATTCTACAAACCCCAAGAAGACTGAAAGAGTGGAAAATCATAGGAGCATGGTGGGTGTATAGCAAACTGCTGAACACAGGCAACCAACAATTTGGACAGTATCCAACTTACACTCTCCTTTGGAAGGATCCTCTAGAAGTGCTAACCGATATGCTTTATCTGGAAGTTGATCGCTCAGAGGAGGAGCAAATATCTTCGAACTGCAACCTCCTTTTTATTATATTTCGCACTTTGGTTAGAACGATCCAGACAACCAAGGGTTGTTTTATCTTTTGCGAGTTGTTTGATGTAAATACTATCAAACAACTGCACCAGTAGTCTGGTGATTATTTGAGGATGTGAACAGTTGGTTCCAACCAAGTTTTCTACCTCAGTGAAATTCTCATTGGATACCAAGTAGTTCTCAGCTTTCCCACTCATGTTGACCAGCGATGAACTGAACTCTTTCGGTGACATGCCAGATAACCTGGGACATATGCAGAGTGCAAAGCGAACCGTAATGGAAGGCTCGAATAACCAGAATATAGAACAATTTTCGAAAGAACACTTACTCCACTCGGGGGTAAAAATAAACGTAATCCCCACTTCAGCGTACTGCCGAGTGAGTGACCAGCCAAACGTGAACAACAGGATCCCGAGAAGCATTGGCACCAGAAACATGTTGGCTTTCTCGATCCATCGTATGCCACCAAAAATACAAACGGCAACAATGAGCACGGCAATTGTGTGAAACAGTACGGGCCAATATGAATCCTGCAGGAGTAAGCGGAACATCGGAGACACAAGCGTTAGCTTACATCCGAGTCGGTGATCCAGACTAGCTCAGTAAAATCTGATGACTCACTCTGGCAAACTCGTTGAAAATATTGACACTGGCGACCTCGTCCAATGGTAAGCTCGGTAGGGCACACGACTTGTAGAAGTAATAGAGACACCAACCCACAATCACGGAAAAGTAGGCGCTGAAGCAAGATGTCATTTTGAACGTTAAGTGGAGGGGACTAGGAGACATCCACTAATGGAAATGACAACCTGTCCTAACAGGTGTTTTGAGCAGAACTGGTCATGAGATAATGCAAAACCACCGATGCAACGAAAGCAAGTCTTCAAACATGGATACATTTGGACCGCAGATGGTTACAACAAGACGTTTGTTTCGCAAACTGACACCAAAGTGAAACGACAGAATATCAGCACATAAGATTTGGTCAGTAGTATTAGGACAAATCAAGAAGCGAACGTGTGATATATTCTATAACTATATGAATGCAAGACTGACAAAGTGGTCGTTCCAGTGTTAAATGAGGCCACTAAAATTGCTTATTCCTTATATCTTTAGGGGGAAGCGAATCCCCATTCTTTCTTCAATCCAACTATAAACAGCCGGATAGCAGGATGTAGTGTTCTTTATCTTCCAGCCGTCCAGCTCACGTCACATGGCCGATTCCTTCTCGGCAGCCTGAGCGGCAACTCATTACCGGAATACTTGTGCGGCGCTGGAGGTCTACTACCTGAGCAGCCCACTTACATTTTGTGAATAGTGAAAAGGTTTCGAAGTGTGGAATCTGTTCCTACAAGGCATATAAAAAAACCGCGACATTGCTCCGTACTCTGTACAGCTACAAGATACTCATCGTGCCGATCACGTCAAATAGAACTGAAGTTTCGGCATGATGCGAAAGAACTGAAGGAGGGTGGAAGAGGCGGAATTTTAGGAATTCGAGAAAAGAGTGGAAATTCTGAGTTTTCTAACCATACTGATTGTGAATCTGTTGCACCGTGTGATCAAATCATGTCACGGTGATCCTGTTTCCATTTTGCTCTAACTCTTCTTATCTTGCTGAATATATCTCCACCACCACCAGACTAGTATTCGCGGACGGATCACGCATGTATCAATCACACTTAGAGGCGCATATAATTAAAAAAAATTTTAAAGCAAATACAGCTGCACAACTATGTTTCTGTCCTCGTTTTTTACACACGGAATCGAGGACCACCATTCCAGTTTTGAGGTCTATTCCAGAAATTCCCAGTCAAGTGAGTACATTCCAACGATTAGTGAACAAACGTAAAGCTCATCAGTTAGTGAAATCATTGGTGTTTCCAGAAGAAATGAAGAAGACGGTGGATCGGGCAACTAAACTACTTTTAAGTTGAAGGGTTTATTTTGCAGGTGAAATCTGAAAAGCAGGGAAGCACTGTGTCATCTTTGTTCGTCATCATATGCAGTGAGCACTTCACGGGTCTCAAAGGGGCCTCAAACTAGCGTCTTCTAGTTAGCGGCCATTCGGCCACAAGCAGCCGACCAGATATCTGATTCCACTGGTGTTGAGTGTGATTTGTCTGAGAGACCTCTGCATTCCATTGTTTCATTAAAGATTACAAAAGAAAATATGACGAAGTGAACCTATGAATTTAGTGGTGACTCATTAAAAGTACAGGCCAAAGTGGAATTTTTTGTCTGATCAATTGACCAAACGTTCGTAGCGATCTATGGGATAGTTTCAAATCTTGCCAGTGCACAGCGTTGTTTCTCGAGTTTTTAGCATAGATTAGCTGCGTTTGCAGGATGAAATAACTATTTTATAAACTTTCAAACAGCCAAAAATAATTCAAGTTGAGTTTTTTCAAGCACCCTGAATTTGATGAGGAAAAATGTCAGGTTATCGCCACAGACTGTACAGTCTTCACTTTTCATATCACCTAATTTTACCGATAAAAAAGAATGATTTTCAATATTAGTTCCATAATAATCCGCAAAGTATCTTGTTAGGTAAACCATACTAGAAAGACTAGTGGCGTTTAGTTATATGATGAAGAAAGTGCGTGGAATGAAAACAACTAAAAACCACTCATTTAATTTATAGACTTGCAGAAGCGACCGGCGAAGTTCCAATAGAAATTGGACGAGTAGTTCCAAAACAAGCACTATGAGGGAAAAGATGCTTTGGCTCACAGTTGGGGCGAACCACCTTCGGTTGCTCTTCCCTGAGATGGACGCATTACGAATTGCACGCTACGTCCAGGCACATGGAGCTTCTCAGTTACCGAAGTGGTCACTCAACATTCAGAAGTCAGGGCTTTCACTCCCGGGAGTCCTGTGTTTATACCCCTGTCCGGACATCTCACTCCTTGACTGGCCTTCATTTAGTGAGATTACACTACTACATTACAAGTACAAGCCACCTATTCCAAAAGGTGTATTTATCTGTCTGTGTAGGAAAGCCAAATATCACAGAGCCATACAGGGCACGTTCTGGTTACCGAATTGGTTGATCAACCTCCAGGGAAAACATCATCATAATAATCACAAACAGCGAAGCACTATCCAGTCAAAACTGCCCTTCTCTTTAAGAACTACCTGAAGGGGCGGACCAGAAGTGTCTTTCCTTAACGGTGATATCTCAGGACGGTTCCAGTTACAACAAATGAATGGGTAAAAGCTGGGATAAAATCTCAGTATTGAAGCAGAATTCATATGAAGGGGTCAGCAACCATAAAACAAAAAAAGAAAAATGAATTCATCACATCCAGCCCGTTTGAAAGAAGATAATTGACTCAATCTCTCTGACTCAATATGCAATCATAGCAGATAAAACCCTGGAGGTAAAGTTAGAAAAAATCCGTTAGAACATTTCCAAATGAAACGTAGAGAGGAAACAGGAAATCGCCAGTGTTTGGATAGAAACCACATTAATTCTGTCGAGCTTGTCACGTATCCTACATTTTTCGATGAAAACACTTATTACTAATTGATTACATCGTCTTGGAAGTTGGATGAAACAGTATGAAGATTGAGGCCAACCATTCGAACAAAAAATCCCAAAGCTTGGATTACGCATGCCATTATCCTGTGTTATCCATCATGCTATTCTAAACGGATTGTAGCAATAAAAAACCGCCATCAGGTGCCAGCGGCAGATTTCTTTTAGTTTTCGGTGTTTACGGGATTTATAAAGTACTCAGTCGCATAACTCTCGTTTGAAAAATCGTCCTCATGTCCTGGCTCAACCATTTTGATGGGTCCACACCTAAGCATTGGCTTAAGTTTCGTTCTTATCAAAGGTCATCACTCCGCACAACTGACATGCCAGACGAAAGTGTTACCACTATTCCACCAGCGCACGCTGGTGGTGAATACGTTCGGGCTTGTTCAATGCGAGTGGATAGCCGGACGCCTCGAATGACGTCCTGATGGCATATCTTGGTTATGTCGATCGATTGGCCCGTCTGGGTGAAACTTCGATGTGTACTTTCGGGGTCGGGGTAGCTACCACTCGTCTACAACCTATCAGATGACATGTCTATTAACAAAAGTCTCAGAGACACCCTGGTAATTTAGGTTGATTTCTTCCACCTCTGAGCCGGTCATATGTCTCATTCATGCCATCTTATTACAACACCTAAGAGCAACTAAGGGTCATCCGCCTAAATCATGAATGCATTTGTTTTCTGACAGGGGATGTGCCAAAGATCACTGGCAGTGTGTAGTGTGCTAACAGCAGCAAACATATCTGACTCATAAGGGTGAGAGCAGAATGATACGGAAGAAAATCACTGTCAATGCGAAAAGTGTTGATTAAAGAGCAGTCATTATTAAAAAAGCAGGTAGAGTGATGAATGTAGGGCCGAATCAGCTTACTTACGTGATCATATAGGTCACACCCACAATCCAACCACCAAGCCATATCAGTTTGCTTCCAAGAAATTTGTGGAAGGCCCCAAGTGGTGATGTTCTGGTGAATCGTCCCAGGGAATACTCGACGATGCTAAGTGGCAGAGACCATACGAACAACGATAGGACCCAAGCGATCAGAAATGTCAGGCTGCCTGTAGATGGAGTGTAGAACGAAGAAAAGTGTCAAAGAAACAAAACACCGGCCAGCTAGTATTAACAAACCCTATACAACTTGAAGAGTACTGATTATGAAGGATTCAATTAGCCTTTAGTTTACAGTGGTCCCACTGAGTAGTGGAGTTCCTAAGTAGCGGACAAAGCTACTGGTAGCATCCGATTTTATCAACTAAACAGTCTTGAAAATTGTCGTCACTTAAAAACATTTGCGATATAGACATTCTAAATAGCACTCAAGGGCATGAGAGATGTAGAGATACTTCAGAAGAAGATGTTTGTTGTCGACGTTCAGCACGTCACATGCAGCCTGTGAATGACATCTTACGATACCTCATAACTCGTAACTCTAATCAATGCAGGTTTATGTTCTCCGAAAAAATCCAGGTCGCTGATACTGACTGATACTGTTTCCTCGTTTGCGCCATGCCAATAAGACTCACTAACGTGTACTCGGAAAGCTCGAGAATGGTACTAAATTAGTGTTCTCAGAAATAAGGAGTGATGCGTGAGTGCAGGATAGGGTAGATAACTGCTTGCAAAAGCTGTTGATTAGGTAAGGTGGTTGTCCGCACGGAGCTGCATAAATGCGATATAATTATAAGGATATTGATGACTAAATAAGAACTTCGAAAGGCGCAAATTAAGCATGTTTCCACCAACGGCAGCAGCCACGAGGAAATGGTCACAGTCAGAGGACCCTGTTGAACAGTCATACTTGATGCATGAGTTGACCCAATAACCATGTGGAAAGTTTGATGTTAACTAAGAACACGCTTACTTTAGTCCAGAGGAAAATACCAAGTGTCCGGAATGCGAAAAAGGATGGTGATAATGAAGAAGCTGGAACAACGCTGACTTCATTTTTAACAAGCTAATATTTTGCACCGGTCTGCGCTGCGTTCCTGATCAATATTGACGACCGAAAACTTAAAGCGTCATCAAACAACTGCACCTCCCGGATAGAACCTGAGAAAAGAGCAACTGAATCTCAATCGCTTTTATTGATGAATTCTTAATGTAGGTGATCCTGTAGTGATTCTTAACTGATAATTTCGACTCGCCAAGTTACGGCACTTCAACTAAGAGCGCATCACCATTTGAACTCTATAATTTTGTTCCTGTGGATCGTCAGCATTCTTCGAGAAAAATGGTTTGCCCCATTCCGCACAATAATTTCCGCCCGACCTCTTAAAGTGCAACAGAAATATAACTTTAACATTGAATCAGACCATCAAGATGGGAGATTCGGCTGGATTCAGTTGAGCCTCCTGTCAGGACGAAATTCGGATGATAAGCCCCAAGAGGGGCGAAATCGATCGTGGGTGGTTCAAGCGTCTTAGTAACATTGTGAGAAGAGTCCAAGTGCTCCGTTACTCACAGTCAAATCAGACGTCCTTCTACGAAGTGTCGAATGAACGTAGCACAAATGATGCGGGTGACTAAAGCGGTTGAGTGATCCCGCTACAACAACTAGCATTTAACTTCAAAACCGATGTTCTCTTGTTGTCCTCGGTAGTTCCTTCACTTTCCTTATTACGTTCATCTACATGCACATAACCACGTTTTCACTTGCACAAAGAATTTTTTAATTCGTTCACACATCTCAAATAACAACTAAAGGACTCATTGCTTGCTACGGTACATCCATTTCTATATTCAGTGTTAGAGACAAATGCCTCCGAAGTTGACATAACTGCCTTCTATTTTAATTCTATCTATAGGGAAGATTGTCATCCGTGCATTGTAAAAAAAAGGCATAGGCAGTGGTTGAAGCTATTTACAAAATGAAGAAGCCACACTTCGTCGGTCATTTCAGACTCGTCAACGAACAACGCACGCTTGTTTTTATGAACGAAAACAAATATACAGACAAAGTTAGCTGTGACAAAATACCGCGTCGGTAAAGTGAGTGCCAGGAAGACGTTGTGTATCGACCAGAAACAGCAAGCTTAGAAGCTAATGTACTAACTTGTGATTGTTTTGGTGTCTGAATGAACAGACGTTACAAAGAATACACACATAGGATATTTTGTCAGTCATGTTACATGAGTATCACATTTTGTGTGCTCCATCCGCTGTTGAAGATATCCGTCGTGCATCTCCAAAATGCCCAGCACGTTCACAAACTACGATCACACCATCCCACTGGACACATATTAGTGAAAGGCAACCAATACTTCGGGTTTATTTCGAAGAGCCTCCACAGTCTAGATTTAGAAACCTTGAAATTTCAACCTCCCNCTGGGCGGGGGAGGGGGTGAGCTGCCATAAAAAAATATATCTATGTTAGTCTACTCTGACCGTCTACTGAAAGTTATCTATTCTCAGTACTACCTAAAACCACAGAATTAACGAACGTTCCTCTTCCTGAATGAGTGCAAAATTGGATGAAACCGTTAATGGAACAGGCTGAAGCTTTGGTTCTTCTGATGCTTGTGCAGGCTTCCGGTAGACAACAGGGGTATTTTAATCTCTTATTACGAATAACACTATCTTCTATGAAACTCACTAAAAATGAGTGTTTCAGTCAAGGGTAAGCGGTGATGGGTTCCACGTTAGGCAGTGAGGATCAGGCTGACCAAACCGTAGGAGACGCTTAGGGGCCGAAAGTAAGCAGGATACATCTCAGCTAGAACCTCGCTCTTCATTGTTATTGGTTGTGTGTTTCTTTCAAAATGCTATCTAGTGGTTTATTTACTACAGGAAGCAAAGATAGTTCCAGAGAAAACGACGGTTCCTGTATTATTAATTGGAAGAGTGCCTTGAAATGCAGACGAATAACAAACAATCCACTTTCCATTGTCTTTTGGCGCACGGCAGACATGTGGCCCGTAGGTAGCATGCTTTCTGTGACACCAACAGGATACCCAAGTCTGGGAGGGGAGATCCATTATCAGGATTGAGGTTTCCGGTCAGAAACTAATACCTCAGTTCCACAGAAACACAAGAGATAACGCACCTAATCGACACTGCGTCGGCTATAAGCTGTTATACGCCTTGTAAATCAATGTGCCTGTGAACACTTTTATGTTTGTGAGCCATAAGTTGCTCTGTTGTGCACCATGGTCGGGTTTGCATTTGTAAAACAGTGGCGTATCTGGATATAACTGATTTTATTGATTCGGTGCACAAGCTGCAGAATCTGTAAAACCGATGGTCTGATTCTGATGAAGTTCAGCGTGAACTATTATTTAAACCAGCTCCGGTAATCGGTAGTAGATACTACGGGTGATATGTGTGTGAGAGACTAACAGATAACAAGGTTCCATAGCTGAGCTGCGGTCCTTGCAGGATGTTTTGGCAGCACGAGAATCACCAGCTCGTCAAGCAGCTACAAAATTAACAGAGAGCTTATTTGCAAATAATTGTACGTACACAAGTGGGGAATAGAGTTAGGGGAAAAGCGCAGCCCAAGTCTCTCTGATACGCCTCAAGGAAAGTGAAACAAGTAGTGGGTTGTTGAAGGGTTATGGGTGGCGTTAAATCAAAAAAGCAATCTAAGCAACTGCCAGGCTGTGGTCACTTTTGCCGGGTATCAAGACAGTTTACCATCATTTCCAGAGCACGAGCTCCAAACGTTTTTCACATCAGTATATCTTTTCTCTAAGCAAACACTGCAACACGATATTGGACTTTTATTCACGGCAGTTCAGTGAGATGGAAAACAGCACTAGTTATAAACAGCCTTAAAACAGCTTGGCGTATTTTCATCAACAGAGCCAAAGTTTCAGAAGCACAAGTTGGACTTTGTTCGCATGTGGTGCTAGCTTCCAATCATCGCGCTCCGACTGAATTATTTGTCAGTTGTGGTTTGCTCCAAACAGCTGTTTGGTAGTACGACCGAATTCGGGGACACCTAAAATGCTAGGACTAAGGTCTTCGGACACTGACTGCCTTCAGTTAACGAGAATATCGTGCTTTCGGTCGATTGATATCCCGACACTTCTGGCCCGGCCATCATATTATAAGACAAAATATGAAACAGACGCTTACCTTTTGGGCTGGAGGCGGTGGCAATGATACGAGGGAAGCGCCAGATGTTACCCGTACCTACGACGCAACCCAAGCATGATAATAAGACTCCAATCGAACTGTCAAACGAATTTAGTTCCGCATGTGGGGTGTGCGACTTTTCACGGGCTGTCAGTGATTCGGATATAGTCTTTAAGAAGGACTGAAGGGGAAAATACAATTTCAAAATAGGTTTTGATTAAGTAAATGCGTAAGTAATGAGTAAGTAATGAGTAAAGTAATGAGAGAAAATAACTCTGAAAAACTACCGTGCTGAAACTATTGTGAGCAGTATTTAACTTTCGCGGTCCTCGCTTGTCACATGGAAGAGCAACAATTTTGCTTACGTTAGAAAGACTGACAGTGAGATGTAAATGTGAGCATCTATTCGATAATCTAATGTATTGAATTCAGCTAGCGAAACATGTCTACCAGGCTAGCAAAACAACTTAATAAAGGGGCTATAAGAAGGCCTTAAAGAATTTGTGAACGTCCGATCCACTTTTCAGGAGAGGAATCCGAATGATACTCCCTGTGACCAGGTTAACCGCACCAAAATTTATTCGTTGTTCACGCTCCAACAAAACACATCAAGCACAAAGTTATGCCAAGGTCATTCGGAATTTTTACAACCGAGGCCAGATACAGGCCAGTTTGAAAAAAATAAACACCACGTTACTAACACATACCGCTGTAGCGCTAACAACGTGACCAGTGTCCTCGAGGTGATGTGCGTTCCGGAAAATTCCAAAACATTCACTTTTTCGCTCAAGAGACTCAGACGAATGGTGTTCGCATGCAATATGTCTGCGTCGCAGTCCAACATTCAATGGGCGATCAAATCAGTGCAACACAACAGATAGTCTTGGTGATCACCTCTCATTTGAGTTCCACTTTTCGAAATCGATACTACTTTTTGTAATATAAAGCACAACTTATCTGGTAGATGATCGTGAGAGATAACTAATCTTCCAGTAGGATTTGTGGAGTTCATATGAAATCATTGTCTGTTATCTACATATTGAATTTGGTTCGATAATATGGTAAGTATCGAATGCATGTAAGAACAGGCAAGTGAGGTTTGAATCAAATGCAGGTGTTAAGTTGGACGCTGCAATTGGAAAGGTGCAAACAGACTTCATGGTCCCAGTTCTAATCATACTCGGGTGCCTGAGTGTGACAGACGGCCGCCTTATCAAACACAACGAAGAGATCGGATAAGGGGAATAGATTAAGGAGGATAACTTCAGTCCCGTCCACTAGCTTGGGAAGGCAGGATGTAGTTGATCCTAAGATTGGCCGCCCAATAGCCGACGATCCGTCCCGGTACAGTAGGGGTTGAGGAAGCGTTTCGATATGAATGTTCTAGGTTGTCCACCCTAAATGGTCCTATTTGGCCACTTAGGCAAGTGATCTTGGGAGCGTACAGATTTTGAACCCTCATCAGAGCCTGGTTCCGAATGCACTTCTCCATTCCTTCCTTGTGAATATTTATTCTGTTCCCTAACCCAAATAATCTGTGTCTAGATTCTTAAATGTCCAATCCGAACAGTTGTCGCTTTTCGATGTCTTTGGTACCTGTTGATTCGTCACGTTTGACACTTTTGTGGGAAGCTGTGAGTTAGTCTTTTTGTACTGTTCCATTTCTGCTGTATCGCTCCGCCGATCGTCCGACTTGAACAACCAGAATCAAAGTTTTGTTTGTGTTGGCGTTTAGCAAGTAAAATGGTTATGGCAGCGTAGCACTTGGCTTCGATGTTTTTCGACTTGGCTGGGACCACCTGTTTAGCAATGTAAAATGCTGTGGCAGCGTAGCACTTGGCTTCGATGTTTTTCGACTTGGCTGGGACCACCTGGGTGCACGCGATGCAGTACTGATAGGAGTCCAGTTAAATTCGTTACGAGCGCGTCGCTTTGTGTTTTACCTATCTAGGTGATCGTGCATACACAAATGTAGTTCAGGATGTACCTTAAGGTAGCGTGTACAGTCAAATCTAGCCATGAGAAACACGCTCGGAGGACCGAAATCTTCCCGAGCGCCGAGTTTCTACTCGTTAGTGTAGCCAAATCCCCGACGTTATCTACCGATCGTTGTGAAATTTAAATTCCCAAATTTACAGCCCTCAGTTACAGAAGTGTTCCCAGAATCGTAGTGTCCCTGGCATGAAATTGAGGGACAGTTTTAGGTTATCGAATTAAGTTCCACGTATTTAACATTACCAACTGCAAACATACTTGTATCGTGCTCCACACCACCTTTCGTAACACGCATGACACAATCTTCTCCATAGCACACTACGGACTTGAAATCACTCGTAATGTGTCACACTGACAAACTCTTTGTTCTCATTCAGTTAGCTAACCATTCAAAATGGTAACAGGGCTTTGTTCTTCCCAATCCTTTGTGTATATGATGGTAGCAGTGGTGAAATAATAATAATAATGACAATAAAAATCATAATAATGAGACAATAATGGTAATTACACTTTGTAATACGATGGTATTTCCCTGTCGCACTGGCTGGCTTTATCACGATTCAGAGACAAACCCTGGAAACTGAGAATAATGAGCTGGTTGAGGTCTGGATTAGTGACCAAATGTATCTTCGATCATGAGGGCCGTAGTAAAAAATCAAATCAGACGTCGCGCCCTAATTTTCACACCCACATGTAACTGCAGCCAGGGTGTTTCGCTTCAGACGAAGATCTGTCATAACGTCCCAGAACACCAGCCCCATGCAGTTTGGAGCGTCCTGACGCCTGTTCGGTCTTCATAAATTATCGTCAAAATATGACACCACACCAGTGCCGCCTGAACTCATTTTACCCAGAAGCTTATGAGTCTAGATGCACAGCAATGAGACACTGGGGTTGTTGTTGTTGTTGTCTGCGATTGTTTTCGGTCCTTGCGGAACCATATCTCATGCATCCTCTTCTGTACGATGGGATCCTTAATTCTTATGGAAAAAATATATATAAAACGTTCAGCTGTAGCACCCTTTCGATGCCCAACTGCCATGGCCACCCAAAGGAAGCACGAGGGCTGGGATACTGCCAGGTTGCCCAAGCCTAGACAGGGGAAGTCGAGAGGCGGAGGTCGGATTCGAACCAC